TCGAGATCATGATTGAAAGTGGTCAGGTTTATCACGAAGCACTGCTGCCTGGTCTCTGGCAGTCAGACTACTAGGCATAAGATATAAGATTTACTCAGATTAGTTTCATTTAGTAGTATAACCTTTATCTACTTACTGATACAAGTCTCAAACCTTTCAATCTTTCAATTTATTACGAAAGTCACCTCTAACCCTCATAAAAAGCACAGAAACATAAAAGGAAATTGTTTATGACCATACGGCACACGATGGTTGTACCAACATAATATATGATCCATGTAGATTTATGTAGGTCACCTTTCGACCTTGGTATCTTGGTCCAAGGGCGGCACGAGGGCTCAATACCGATAGAAAGCTTTGACAAGGTCAACACGAAAGGCTCACAAATTGTACGAATTTAAAGATGGGGAGTTGGAATATTGATTGGCAGGAGAATATTTGATTCACTGCTATTTTTATTCATTCTAGCTTCACTGACGGACTGACTGACAGACTATTATTTATTTTGTATTTGTTGACGTTTCAAAAGAACCAAATTATGGTTTAACTCGTTGAGTACCGTCATTATAGACACAATTAAAGAACAATAGGTTGCGGTCACCGGTGACCGCTCGGTGTTTGATAGTTTAATTGAAATAAATGCTTTGACTTTAACTTATCTACAAATGTGTATATCTAGTGTTTTATTTGGAAGGCCTTGTCTTTTAATGGCATACCATTTCTTCTTTACCGCACCCACGTTTACAGCAGTTAATAAAAATCCTACAGTAATTGCCATAACATTTCATACTTAATGTACGTCTCCATGGCCCGTCCTATTCTGACTTGGTGGACCTAATTGCAATTTTATTTTATACGGTGTAAAACATATTTTACAGTGTGTAGCCAAAGAGCTTAACGATCTGTATACTAAATACTACTGTCATAATGTAAAACAGTAGAACCAAATAGATGATAATACTCGTATATATTATAATTGGGTCTCTTCTCAATATCAAATGAACAATCCAGTTCAAACCGGTCAGCTGTTATTCTCACTCGTTCAGAGTTCAAAGATATGGAATTCGGATTGCGATATTAGTAATATATTCAGTACATTGACTAATACGATGTGGAAATTGCAAAATGTATTTTATTCTATTTATAGTTAGTTGTAAAATTCAATAACAATGATGATAGAATTTGTGGAGTTTGCACGCTTTAGGCTGGGAAACGAGTTTATTGTTGATCTAAACTTCAATAAACGGTTGTCCATGATGCAATTTCGATTGGAGTTGCATATAGGTTTGGTTAATAGTTAAATTCTCTTCAGGTCTGTGTCGATAGATTGAAGTATAAAGCGGTTGCATAGGAATTAAGTACACCGTACTCAAATTAATAAAGAAAAACAGTCATGTTTGTTTTCTTAATTCGATTATCTTTGTACCACATCAATTTTGTATTGTGTTCACAACACGGTGATATCACAACTGACATAATATTGCAATTCACAACTAAGATTAGATACTTACTTACATACATCACATTCTTCTAAAAATCTAGGTTTACAGACAGTCACGTGCTTCTTGGTATTCTCCTAAAAATACGGAACTTGCTAGAAAATGTCATGTCAGCATTAATTGATCGATTGTGGGATGGTCATTTATTTTTTAAATCTATTGTGATTTAGTTTTCCTGTCGGTCCAAGGTGTTATAAAAGGTAGTTGATAGTCGAATGCAGTATGACTCATAATGTTGCAGCTGTTAGCTAAGTTACAGTTGGGTGATGCCGACGATTGTTAAGGTCAAATAGCACCTTTTGCAATCCTGTAACAAAATAATTTTGTATATTTTACATAGAAGGTTCGACGTAACCATAAATAGAATAGAATGAAGACAGATAATATGTAAAAACTTAATGTTTTAATTAGTTAAAATATAACTGATTTTTTTTATGGCATAATCCGGTAAACGTGCTGACGGATCATCTGATGGTAAGCAATCGGCGTCGCCCATGGACACCTGGAACACCAGATGCGTTACAAGTGCGTTACCGGCCTTTTGGGGATTAGGAGTTTGAGAATCGTAAGGGTTCAGAGATTGGGGAAGGGGAGGGTAATTGTGCCTCCGGTAACATCACTCACACGACGAAACACAACGCAAGCGTTGCTTCACGTTTGTTTTCTGTGAGGTCGTGGTATCACTCCGGTCGAGCCGGCCCATTCGTGCCGAAACATGGCTCTCCCACACTTGATTAGACACGTGAATAAAAAAAAATATGGGATCTTCCATTCATTAAATTAACATTTGTTGTGATAAAAAGCTAGGAAGTTTTTCCATGTTAATGTTCATGTTCATGCTTTGTGTGCGTGACAATTCTTTTAATCCTTGGGCATATTTTTACTTGAAGGTCATAACTATCGGCTAAAATTAGAGTAACCGACATCGTCATCATTTTTTTAAATATTAGTTCTGTGGAATTTATTACTAAAGTTAAGATTGATTCAGATATTTTGGAATAAGACCTAGTGATTAAGGCCTTTCGACAAACTCCAGTTACTAAGCTGGCGTGTGAATCGAAATAGTATAACCTTCAGTCACTTATAGTGTTTAGTGATTGGCTGTAGGAGCCTGTTAGACGCCTATAATACTCCTTTGTTGTCTGAAAGTTATCACGTGTACAGGCACTTGAGTTGAGGCATTTCTGTCTTGTTTCTGGGTCAGCACTTTATAATCCAATCCGACTAATATTATAAATGTATACGTTTGTATGTTTGTTACTACGTTACGTCAAAACGGCTGAATAGATCGCCATGGAATTTGGGAGAGGGGTTGATTGTAATCTAGAATAACACAGGCTATTTTTTATCCCACAAAACGCTGCCGAATGAGCTGGCAGAATAATTAAATAAATTCTTAACAAATGTTGTACTAATTATTACTCTTCGTGTTTTTTTTCTGCCGGTACAATTCGACAGGGTAAATCGAATAGTTTCACACTAGTCTAAGACCCATAATCTTCCCGAGCGTACGGCGCGTCGCGTTCCACGCACTCCTCAAGGAGCCATCAAACCACCACAGGTGAGGCCCAACAGGGAGGGCTGATGCCTATACGGAGCCGCGGAAGACCTAATGGGTTGCCGGGCGCTCTGGCTCGAAGTGCAGGAGTAGGAACGGGATGGTTTTTAGTCAGTAAGAGTCTGACACACCGTCTCGCCTTACCCAGGCGGGAAAAGTCATTGGATGATTTTCCCCCCTCAATAAAAGGACCCATAATCTTATGATTCAAAAAGAAAACTCTAGCTGTTACTTTGCTGCTTTCTCAAAAGTTTTAAATAAACGAATGAATAAGCGTCATATTTTATTCATACGTCTTTAATCTGGACATAAATAAATCATCTAATCTGTCATACATGTTGCTGTGATGTCACTGATACTGTACAAATATTTACAATTTACATAAATGCAACATACGGGTTTTCTTGCAATAATATTGTTAGGAAAATAGTGCGATAGTGGTCAGAACGAAACGTATAGTTTTTCAAACACAAGTCAAAACAGGTTTGTTTGTTTGTAGTCGCTAGAAAAAAGGAAACGAATATAATAAAATGGATACACTTTTCCAATTTGCGACTGTTTCTCTTCGTCTTCCTCGATACATCTTTCTGTGAACGTAATGAGACATAATTTCTATTATTAAATGAATCTATTTCTTAAAATGGCCGTGGGGCCCAAGTGCACATCTTCTCTACTAAGATATTGTAAGGAGGATGGTTGACACTTCAGGTGATCAAAGGGCTGGCTACTACCTTGGGCAAAGGCTAAGCATTGCCATTCAACGTGGCAATGCTGCCAGTTTTTTGGGCACCCTACCTCACGGTAGCGATGAGGAAAATGTTAATATATATTTTTTTTAAGGTGTAAATATTTTAGTTTTAAATAATTTATATTTTAAGTTGTAATACTAATAGGAATAAAACTAGAGTACGATTCCTAAATTTCTTAAAAACATTTTAAATAGATATTTGAACTGTTCATTCAATACATATTCTCACATACATCAAACACAAACAGGAACGGACTAATTTTCATCAATTCTGTGTGACGTATGTACAAACGTATAATACAATGCAATATGATATTCTAGTTTTTTACATGGCACATGATTGATGTGACCTTGACTCGGAAGATTGGTTGCAAGTCAATACCCGGGCTGTGACAATGTTATAGAACACAACGTTTTACAGAAATAGGCATACAAATGTTTAAATATTATTCATTAATTTTTATTTGTGTCAGCTTTAGTCCATACACACGTATTTTTAAATCTCAATAATGTGTACGCTACACTCAATATTTATTAGGTTATAAACTGACTAAAATACTTATACAAACTTATAAACTCTTTCTATTAAAATAGATGATTTTGAATCTTAATTGTGTCAGTATTTGAATGTTAATTAAAATACATTTATTCAGTAACTCCAGTTTTCCATACGCCAGCAATGAAAAAAGTTCGTTTGAAAACGGCCATAAATTTTGCACGTGTAACAGAGCGCAACCCTCTAGCCGGCGGGTATCGATTTTTCATCTCCTCACAATCATGGCGACTACAGCGTGAATCGCGTTATAGTCGCCATGAATGTTAATTTTAATGGTTTTTCTTTATCGTGAGTGCTTATAATAATGTGAAAAATAACACCCTATGGACGAATAACAGGTTCGATGTTTTATTTATTGGTTTTTACCGTGAATTACCCTCGGGGGTGGCTTTTACGTATGCGTCCTTTGTCGAACAATCCAGAATGGTCGTTCTACTGTGGGAGTTTATGATATTTTTCATAAATATTGTTCTGTATTGAATATTTTTATCATATTTTGATAAATAATATCAATATTGAGACTAAATCCAATTAATTAGATTCCTACGTAAGATAATTCTTTTTTTTCAGAAATCCATGTGAGTCACAGGGTATTCTTAACAAAATGATGTTAATAAAATTATTTTCTGTATTTTCCAGGGCTTCGTTCCCGGTATGTTTGGCGTGTCTCATGGTGCGCTGCAGTTCATGACGTACGAAGAGATGAAGAATAGGTACAACCAGTACAGGAATCTGCCGATTGACATCAAATTGGTAAGTCCAGTTTATAGTAATTAACAAAAATATAACCAAAACGTGTTAAAAAATTAGTTTGTACTATAAACTGTGAAACACCGCGAGGACACCGGTGACCGCAACCTATTGTTCTTTAATTCTGTCTATAATGACGGTACTCAAGGGTTTTTTTTTTTTTTTTTTTTTAAGGGGGGAAAATCATCGAATGACTGCCCCCGCCTGGGTGAGGCGGGAGGGAGTGTCAGACTCTTACTGACTAAAAACCACCCCGTTCCTTCTCCTGCACGTCGAGCCGGAGCCCCGGTTACCCGTTAGGTTCTCCGCGACTCCGAATCGGCATCGGCCCTATTGGACCCCATCTGTGGTGGTCTGATGGCTCTTTGAGGCGCGCGCGGAACGCGACGCGCCGTACGCTCGGGTCTGTTTCTGGTCGGACGGGGAGCCACCCATGCTCGCCGTCCGCAGGCCCGCGCTTACGGTGGCCGGAGATCGTCCCGCGATCCCCGACGCCCGGTGTGTCCTTCGCGATGGCTGGGTTGCGAGGAGGCAGCGCTTCGCTGCCTCACGCGTCCCGCCTCCTCCTTAGCTAGCATGACTGCTTCGCAAAAGGAGGAGACGGCATCCCAATCCCCCTCGCTCCGCATCATGGCCTGCACTAGGCCCGGACGCGAGAGGTCGCCATCGCCGATCACTTCCCTGAGGACACGGCGGTGCTCAGCCCACGAAGGGCATTCTCCCACCGTGTGTTCCACCGTGTCCTCAGGGCGGTCCTCGCAGTGATGACACCCGGGCGTTTCCTCCCGCCCCATCAGACACAGGTACCTCCCGAAACTGCCATGTCCGGTGAGGACCTGCGTCAGGCGGTAGGTGAGGACGCCGTAGCGTCTCTCAAGCCACTCCTCAAAGAGGGGACTTACCGCTGCGATGGCAGCGAGCCCAGTACTCAAGGGTTAAGATCCAATCGCCTATGGAATAACGTTATTAAATCTAATCGATTCGACTGAATAGTAAAAATTCACAAAATGCTACTTTAGTATGGTTAAGAATTGAATTTGTCGACTGTACAAGCTTGACATAATTTATCAAATGTCAGTGTCAATATCATACATTATTATACATTAGTTTTTCAGTTCACTTAAATCGACTAGAGTCTATCTCATTGAGCTCATAGCACAAACACGATTAGAAAGGTTTAATGGCACATTAAACAAACATTCATTTTAAGTGTGGGAGAGCCATGCTTTGGCACAAATGGGCCGGCTCGACCGGAGTGATACCACGGCCTCACAGAAAACCGACGTGAAGCAACGCTTGTGTTGAGTTTCGTCGTGTGAGTGAGGTTACCGGAGGCCCAATTACCCTCCCCTTCCCCAATCTGCCCAATTCCTGAATCCCCAACGATCCTCAAACTCCTAATCCCCAAAATACCGGTAACGCACTTGTAACGCCTCTGGTATTCCAGGTGGCCATGGGCGACGCCGATTGCTTACCATCAGTGTCAGCTCCTTTACCGACTTATGCCATAAAAAAAAATTCAACGTGAAGTTTTCAACATGGTTTTCATTAATATAGTCTGCCATTTCACGAAATTACTCCCATAATTTAGTAAAACGGTTGTACAGGAAAACTGTCACTAATAATAATTACCATATTATGTGTTTGTAAATGTTCAAGGCCAAAGTCGTATGTCCATAATACACCATTATTGCCATGACATTGTCCTCATATGCTGTACTTGCATTGATTAATAACAATGGAAATGCAAATAAATGATTTATAGGTTTAATCGTTAGGTATATTAACTTAATGTTTTGTGTTAAGTTAGTCATGTTTTTCTCCACGTGTTTTGATTGGTTTGTCGATTAAAGGTGTGTAATTACTACACAACTGCTTTCTTAACATCCAAGTCGCTACTTAGGCCTCTGGCGACCTATGTCAGCAGAGGATTTCAGTTCAGTAGTTTTCGTGTGTAATATTATTTAGAACTAGCTTCTGCTCGCGACTTCGTACGCGCAATCCCGTTTTCTCTAGTTTCTGTAGGATTTTCAGGATTTTTTCTGTCTCTTAAGACTTCTTAGGACTTATGACTTAAGAACAACAAATACAACGAAAAAGAATTAGCTAAATCGGTACAGCCATTCACGCGTGATGCCGTGACGAAGGGAAAAAGAGATTCATTTTTATATATGTATATAGATAGATGAAAAAGACAATGCACAGTCCCAAGGCAACATGAGATATTATAATGACAGAAAGAATAACGCTCATTAAGGTCGATAAATCATAAAATTAGTTAAAAAATGCTAGTAGAATCATTTGAAAACGCGAGGAATGTATTTCCTGATTTATTTATCAGTGTTTTCTTACTTATTTATTAAACATTTCTTAGCTATGACATTAGAGATCTTGACAAAAGAGATACCGTAAAATGGGGTGGATAGGGATCGAGAGGTGAATAGAAACAAAAGAGGGGTGACTAGATATTGGGAAATTCTTCATAGTATTGATTCACCCCTCTTCTGTCTCTATTCACCTCTCGATCACTATTCACCCCATTTTACTTGTAAATATTCAGAATAGAGATTCGAGACTAGTCATTGTAATAATTTAGTTGATTTCTGACATCTTTAACATGACGGTCAGACATGACAATTGGTACCAGTTTATTCTGGATGAATCTACATTTGGAACGGTAAATAATTGACTTCCTGCCTTTTTAGACATCAATCAATATACACTTACAAGTGATCATTCAATTTATTTGTGCTTTTATTTGCACATATTTTACATTGAAATGGTGCACTGTTCTGACTACCTGTAATTATAATTTTTATTTAGGCAGATAGGTTTATAACTTTGTGTATGCACTACAGAAAGTTGATATTCGACATGAAAATCGACATCATTTTTATGTGTTTATAGTTGCATTTTGTTTTTTTTACCTATTCTAAAGAAATACTTTGTTTTTTCGTCTGCATACATTTAAGATGTTTTTAAAAGGAAAATGGATGAATTAAACTTCACAGATTTTGGAAAACAATAAGGATAAAAGTGTTTTGAAGTATAAAATGTTTACTTCATTCATAATGTTTTGTTTGTACTTGTAAATGCGTCAAATTCAAAAACCAAAACACGTTTTATACGTCATCAAGTATATTAATGTTTTGTTTTTTTTTTTAATTTTGCAATCATCTTCACTGAACCAAAGGCAACAAAGAAAAACTAACTTGTATTTCTCAGATTTTTTGAGGATGTTTGACTTTTCAGAGGGCGTGGTTCAGATTCGTATCTTTAGGCTTAAATGTTCTTACCTATTATAATAATTAAAATAACACGTCAATTTTTTTGAATTCACAGACGTCAGTGGAGTACCTAACGTTCGCTGCGATCTCTAAGCTGATAGCCGCGGGCGCGACATACCCGTACCAAGTGGTGCGTGCGCGCCTACAGGACCAGCACCGCAGCTACGACGGCGCCTGGCACTGCATCAACGAGACATGGAGGTACGAACGAATCAGAGGCTTCTACAAAGGCCTAACGCCGTACCTCCTACATGTAACGCCTAATATATGCCTAGTTATGCTCATATGGGAGAAATTCACCAATAACGATTGAGTCTTAATGTCATCTGATGGGAAATCGCGTACACAACTATTTATTTTCATTTTATTTTTTAATATTTTTGACAGTTCGATCGCAGGGTTTACCGCCGATTTACGTTTAGTTTTTTCGTTTCGTTTGTCTATGGAGTGTTTAAGGTAAGCGTTTAGTTTTAAGCGGGATAATTTATTGTTTAGTACTATAGTCTGTATTTGTATGATTATGCATTTTTTGTTTGTATTGTATCTTAACTAACATTGACGTGACTTTTGACAGTTGTGTTTTTACTAGTTACCCGCATTCTAGTTGACGTTTCGCTAAAAATAGTTATGACTTTAACAGTTTTGGCATAGTTGCCACTAAAGGAACCGTAGTTGGCACGAATTCAAACGGAATTTCGTAATTTTAATAGTGATTGATATGTATTTTAAAATAATATAATGAGTGTGAAAATGTTTGAGAATTGTAAACCTATGTACCTATAAAATTATTTTTAAAGTTTTGTTGTACAGTTCGTAACAAAAGCTTGACTTTACAGAAACAAATCCGAATTCATAATAAATCATCAAAAGAATAGAAAATGACAATCAAAAATACACAAGTCTGATTTTGATGATCACGAGCGTGTGTTGCCGACTGTACTACAAAAATATTTTTTTATTAAAATGTAAAATCTGTCTCACGACATATGTTGTGTTTTTGTTTTTATTTATTTATTTTTCTAACATAGTAATCTCTTGTAAATAGTAGTCGTACTCTTTCCCATCAGATAGTGACTGACTTAATTTTAAATCTGGCAACACCTCGACAAGGAATGTTGCCAGCTGTAGCACAATTTAGTTTTAATTTATCAATTTTTTGTGATAATAGGGTATGTACTTAAACTGTCGCGCTTCCCGAAGTATTTAACATTTAAAAGTAAAAAGACAAGATTTTGATTTTGAGATAACGTTACATGTGTGGTGAGACGACGTTAGGTTTCTTTATTACGTAAGATAGTTTCGTTTCAGCTTGCTCTTAAGCATATGACAAAAAAAAACAAAAAAAAATATAAACATATTTTTCTCAAATGTAATGTTATGCAAGTATGAAGCTAATCTGTCTTAATCTAAATATTAAATGTAACCCGCCTTCGTTGTAAGTCAAATTTATCATCTCCAATAAAAGAAAACAAAAAAAAAAAACAAAAAATTGGTCATCCCCTTTTCGTGAAGCAAAGTGTAGTACAATCACGCACAGCAGTAGCTCGTTAAACATTTATAATAAGTAGGGACATTGTAATTATAAATAAATACTCTATTTATTTCAATACAAGATTCACTTAGTGACGACTTTATATAAAAATTTAGACGACTTGATTAAAAATATCACAGTTATCGATAAATATTTATATATTATGATGATGATGATGATGAGAATATTATGACACGTGTGAATCGAAAAATACATACACCAAATAATATGTGATTAAATAAGTAATCTGAAATCATTATGTTGTTTTAATGTGTGGTTTCAACGCTAAAGATTCGTTTATAGATAGGTATGATGAAATAAAATAGTTTGCGATAAACTTTTTGGTTGGCTTTATAATTTTTAGTTCCCAAACGTAGTAAGTAGACATGTCTAATTAGTGTTAAGTAAGCCAAAAGTTTTTCGCAAGGCAACATTAGTAATTGATGTATTTAGACAGTGTCGTATGATATACGTCAAAATGACAGGCCCATTACTGTCAAATATGTCAGTTGCTTACGTACAGTTACTTGTAATAAAAATAAATCTGATTATTTATAGTGAATTTTCTCAGTTGTTCATTTATTTGAGTTTAGGAGGAATAATAAAGAATTTTCTCAGTTGTTCATTTATTTGAGTTTAGGAGGAATAATAAAAAGGTACCATTTATGCAAGTGACTGTACACGAAAATATTGCTTTTTGTCCGTTTTTTGCTGTTTTGTATATTAATTTATTATGCGTCATATTATATGCGTTCTTATGAAGTTGACGTAGATTAAGCGAACCGAAAATAAGGTTTTTAATGTTTTATTTATTATGTGCTTTTATTTTGGATAGTATTATGATGGTTTATATCGATGTACTTTTAATTGTCAAGGCTTGAACAGTAACATAATGTCTCAAGGAGTGTTAAGATGACAAGAAGATGATTACGAAAAATAATGACTGTATTTCGACATGTGTAAAAATGTGAAACATTGTTCAAGCCGTATTATTTAAAAATATATAAGGGATGTGTGTTTCAAGTTATGATATCTCTAAACGTATCTAAAGCGTTGTCACCGATCTGTTATGATTATAATTGTCTTATTCGGTGGCTGGCCACATAGCAATTTTTGTAAGACATATAAAATAATCAATTTACTATAACTATTATATTTTTATATAATCACTCAAGTTCAATTGTTCAATTCGCCTATTCAATTTGTTTAATCAATAAATGATAGCAAATTGATTGAGTTTGTTATTTTATTGTTTATTTCAAATTCGTGATAATGTTCTTAGTTTTAATTAACCTTCGCGATTTTGCTATATAAATAAATCTGTTTAATATGAATCTTAATTTGTTCGCGTACAAAGATTTTTAGTAAAAACAACTCAACTGCAAATTGAAAGTGATAATATTGAGTAATTAGTCGTTCAAAAGTAATTTCAATTCTTAAATCAATTGCCCACGTTTAAAAAGTGACTAATTAAACTAATAAGGTAAGTACATTGCATTCCCTGTACCGTTTCATTCAGGTTCTAATTAAAATTTTCACGTTTTGCAGACATGAAGGCTGGCGTGGTTTCTACAAGGGGCTCAAGCCGAGTATAGTTCGTGTATTACCAGCCACGATGGTAACCTTCTTAACTTATGAGAATGTATCGCATTATATGCTAAATAGGTCGCGCGAAGTAACGCTGTCTACATAATTTTAATACTTTAATCGCCGTATGAAACTTGAAGACAAATCCTTCACTACCCTAGGCAATCTACGTGGCGATTAAGAGCGGTTTCAGAATAACGTTTTATACGCGCGTATAGGCGCGTTTATGGAAGCTTTACCATGTAGACCCACCTTTTGTCACACGTGCGATTCGTACGAGCGTTCGCTTCTAAGCTCGTATGAGCCATGAACCACTACTACCGGTTCGAACGCAAACGCCGTAAGCGCGTATGCTGAAACGCAGAAAATACGCTAATTTGAAACCGCCCTAAGTTATTATTAATGTAAGTTTTAAAATATGGACGAGAATATAAGAAATTCACGAAGTAAATAGACGTCAATTAGCTTTGGAATGTACCATCTTAAATGGGTTTTTAAGGGTCGGCAGGGCGCATGTGTTGTAAGCATTCATAGGCCACGGTAATCACTTACCACCAGGTGGGCTGAGAGCTTCGTTGTCACCGTCGTAGTGTAAAAAAAAATGTTTTTTTTATCATCTGTGATTTCATAGTGACAGTAGTGACGTTTAAGTACAGTGGGTTACAAAACTGTTTACTATTTGACAGAAATTAACATCGTACTGTAGTAAAGTTTGAAAGAGGTTTTAATATCATCTACGTGGTGTTGGTTTTTGATACGCAAAAACAGATATTATTCTGTAAAGCGTAAGTGATATTGCTGATATTGTATAAATGACGTCTATTGACTTTGCGTTCTTAAAACTGTTTTTAGACATTTTGCATTTGCCCTTAGTTGTATAGTACAAACGTTTCAGTTTTAATTTTAATTATGTTTTAATGGAATTAACGACAGTTGTTATCAAGGAATGGGTAATTATGACGTAGGAAATGGCAAGTTTTATACATTTGTGTATAAAATGAATTATATTACGCTAAACTGTTATAAAAAGGTTCAAATTGGTTAACAAAATTAATGGGTAAAAATGGTAACTGGGTTATAATAATATTTAAAAAAAACATCCGCTAGAAGGCACCGTTTTATTTCAGGTTATGTCAACTGGTACGTTAAAAATGACTGGTGTAATTTCTTGTGTCGTTATTTTGAAGTTAAAGCCAAAAATAGAAAATTATTCAACTTCATATCATCTATGAAAATCTATCTGAATTCTAAATGAAACTGAGATAACCTAAAACGAAACTAGCGCCACTTAGCGGAGAGTCTACCATATATTTTTTTAACTTCTCAGTCTGTATATAGCTTTCTTTACTAGAATTATTTATAAGTATCTTGTATATGAATAAAAGAATGCTTCAGAGAAGAGAAATAAAGTAGGATTATAAATATTCAATAGATTAAGTTGTTATAGACTATTTTTATAGAAGCTTCGGAGACTCTAATAGTAACGTACATTCTGATTAATACCTGTCTTATAATAAAATACATTTTCATAAAATAATTATTTGATTAAAAAAATATAAACATGAAAAGAGTCTCGACAGTATTTCGGTCGATAAGTCAGAATGTTCATTAATAGATTTTCAACTTTATAGCAAACGGATAAGATTGAAAAGCTATTATAGAAATTCACAACTTACCAGCCGAATAATTTCATTGCGAATATAAGGACGACAGTTCAGTAATAATTTACATAATCAGTCTGTTAATACTTTGCTCTTTCCAAATATACAAAACTTCAATACGTCGTCCTTAAAATACTTCTTACAGTTTCTATAAAAATAACCTACATTAGTATTAACATCATCCCCTATACACATTTATCAAATTTTAATAAAAAATATGTTGAATGTGCAAAGGAAATTAGTTCATAAATTAGCATACCTATTAAGTTCATAACGCGTAAAATTGTACATTAAAACCGCGTGTCAAAATGTCAGACCATTTAATAAGTAGTGCGAGTGCCAACATGGCCGTTAATATAAGTTTAGGTTTAAATAGATATAGGCTGTGTAAATTCTTACTTTATAAGTGACTTATAATTGAAAACCGAAAATTATACATTATATGTATAACTACGATCAGTCCGTCAAAATCAGTTACTAAAGTCAAACAAGGAAATACAAGAATATTGGCTTTGATTTTTAAATATTTCTAAATATTTAGAACTTTTTTGGATTACAGTTTAACCCGTCGTGTGTCTAAACGTGGTACTACGCGAGACGCAATGTATTTTCTATTGTGTCTCATATACGGGCATTCGAGCGGTTAAGGCAGTCATTGATTTTCAGGATACTTAATTTAGTTTAATAATATATTGTCAACTGGTTTTTACATAAATTCAACTTTTTAAAAACCACTAATAAAGTAGGACTTTATACATTCATCATTAGTTATAAAAATGTTATGTAAATTCAATATATTTTCGCTTGGAAAAAATATTGAACTTGCGTAACTTATAATCTGGCAACACTGCTACAAAAATTAGTTTAAAGAGACGCGCATATTTTGTAAATGTAATCGCGCATTAGGTTACATAGATCTAGTTATGAAGCTAGGTATAGAAGCTAGAACATTCGTAAGTTAATATCTAAGACAATATAAAATACAGTATGTCTCGCTTACATCTGCGTTGAAGTAAATCTTAGACCTATTAAAATACAGTTGAAATCAACTTGACAATGTACAATGACGACTACTTATTTGTTACAAAAATTGTAACGTACTACATTTTTGGCATATTGCCTGAACAACCAGCTACTGAGCAAAAAGCTCATTCGATTCACTTCAGAAATATACTCTGGTCGGACATAACTTTACCGTTGTAGTAGGTACATTACTAGGGAACAAGGAAAGAACTTGAAAATAACAGCATAATCCCAAAATAAAATCATTATTTTGTCTTTTAAGTAAAGAAATTAACTTACGAATGCTCTTGTCTAAATTAGGTAATAAAAAACCTAGTATAAAAGAGATATATTAGACTAAGTTTCGTTTACTTTCAATAAGTAATTACTTAGTGATTACTGAATTTAATTTTGTTTTTTAACGAATGTAAAAGTTCGTAGAATAAGGGGCAGCATGTTCATAATGAGTAGGTTCTGGACGCGACCATTTTGTATATATTGTCGCGTTCCTATTATGTTGTAACAGAGTCGTATAAAAATAGTATGTATAGTTTAAGTAGTTTTATATTTATAAGTATATGTAGTTCATAATTAAAATTATTAGTTAAAACTAGTATTAAAATTAATTTATACGAACGCATAGTCGAAGCGCATCGAAGCAAAAATTAGGTAAAATTAACCTTATCTCCATAGCGAAATGCACGGATTACTCTAGAGATTTGGAAAGACACGGGTGAATCTACACGGTGCGTGATTTCTATGGATTTTAGCTTCGATACACTTCGAGTTTGCGTCCATATAAAATTATTAGTAGTTAAGCAATGGGAGGCGCAAAAACAACTTACAAAATTAACTCTATTTGAATAGACGTAAAGTGCTACATTCAAGGCGTTAGTCCATCTTACGGAGACACTGCAGTTGATTAATAATTTAGACTAGTTTAAGGAATTCACGTGTTGCGGGTTCGATTCCCGCATGGAACAAGTATTTGTATGATTTAGTCTACTTGTTCCAGGTTTGGATGATGCGTGATATGTATATATATTGGTGGCAAAACAAAGCATCTGTTAGGTATATTATATATAGTGTAAGTAAATAATATATATTTGTATAAAACGAACAAAAAATACAAAAACAAAAAACGGAAAATATAAAAAAATGTACAGGATGACTTTTAGTGTTTTGAAATAAGAAAACTTAGCAACGACAACTGAACTAAATTAATAAAAGAATTTTCGCAGCATCTACTAGAACTTCTATAAGTCGACATACCAAAAGACACAAAACAAATTGTAGAAGATTAATAACAATATATATAATTAGTATAAAATAAACATTCTTTACTTGTATTAAAAGTAATCCTGTACCTAGGTAATATTAATTATAGATAACTTTAATATAATAAAAACCCATGGTTCACAAATGAGCAAAAATTAGGTTTAAATAAGTCGAAGAAAACTTCGCAAATGTAAATATATTTCAAAGAGATAAAATGGTCCCATGAAAACGTTGAAAGTAGGTGTAACTTTAGACATATTAATGAAAATATAGGTTAAACATATTATAATATATAATTATGTAAATATCCTAAAAGGGAACGATCACAAATCTCACTAAAAAGTAGTGTGTTAAATACTTTATAAATATAATAAAACAGTTTTAACATTTTTCTTTTAAATGCCATCCTATTTTCCAGGGTTATAAAAATATCAACCTGTATTTTTGGCTTCACTAAATTTATACAAAACTAAAAAAGAAATTAAAAGTCCAACCATTATTTTATTCAATATCTAAATTGGAAATATTCTTATTGCTATAAATAATATATTATTAATTCAAAATTATAGGTGGCATGTTTATTACTGTAATAAAATATAGGTAATACTTAATATAGTTTAATTAGGTTCACTTGTTATTTATGGCGTGCTTCAGTGAAATAGTCTGCTACAGGTTGAAAAATATGTAAGAAAAACTTGCAACTTGAGGATAATTATAATAAAACATTTACGATGGTGCATCATCAAGAAAAAATATAATAAAATATTTACTATGGCGCTTCATCGCCGATTCAAAGAATAAATAACGTATTCACTTTACCAATATCTCAAGGTATTGAGGTTCGAAGCTAATTTTGCGAAAATGTTATATTTATATCGATAAATGAATAATGTTATTACTTATCCCTAGTAGGTCAAACATAGTGCCTATGATCATACTCTTTACCACTAACAAGATCACGAACAGAGTAACTTAACGCGTCATAAGTAACATGTATTAGAATAAAACTTAGAATATAAGGCATTTGGCACACAATGGCTGATTTTAATACTATTTTGTAGACATACTTGTTTCATGTAAAAAAAAAAACATTTAAAATCTTACATGCCAAAAATAACAGCATTATACTTGCTATTTAGTCAGGTGATTTGCGTTTTCAAAATGG